CTAGTTATGTTGAAAGCCTGTCTGAATCTCCTAGTGGCATCCTTGTCAACTAAATATCTGACTTTTTGACCCCTGTTTGGGAGATCAAATACCCTCTGAACACTGTCAGCATCGACACAGATCCTTCCCCTTCTTGGGAAAACCATTTCAGAGGTCTGTGGCTGGTAGGACTGCACTAGGAACTTAGTGAGGTCCGCTGGAAGTGTGTCTGATAAGTTCAATTGCCCCCCCGAACAACCTCGAAACTAGCTCTGACTTCTATAGTGGGGATAGAGAGGCGTTGAAATTTGCAAACCGCGCTGGTGATGCCCTTATCCTGCCTGGTTGTGATGGTCACTCCACATCTTCCCCTGCAGCCACCTCAACTCCTTCACCGCTGGCCTGTTGATGAGAAAATGAAAACATTACAGAAACATTAAACACAAGAGAAAAAACAAGAATGAAAAAAAAACTAGCAATCATCATTTGGATCAGTATTAGAATGAGCTATATATTCATAAAATGGATCATGCCAACTAATATGATGTATTTGTGCAACTAATAAAGCTCATGAGGACAACTGCAAGACTGCCAGTGTGCAACCTTCAAAAAAATAAAAAAAGTACGAGACCTGACAGCTACAAAAAGTTCTAGTGGATGTGCAACAATAAGAAATGATATTGCAAACAAGAAAAACAGCAACTAAAAAAAAGGTTTGCAAAAAACTATTCAAATAGATCATAAACACACACAAAAAACCCACATACCTCAGCATCTGCTGCGGAAGATGCGACAGCTTCTCCAGCAACTGCTGCCTGCACAAAAGATGACCACCGATGTCAACTATGAAATATGCCAACTAGTCAACTACAAGATGCCAACTAATGCCAACTAATGTCAACTATATTTAAATCAATATGACTAGAGATGTCAACTACAAAAGGTTGTTATTGATAAACTAAAAACAAAAATAGTGGTGTGAACTGATGCATAATTTCATCACTATCTAAAAAAGCGAGAAAAACACTTATATTCGACATTCTACTTACCCTAGAAAATGACTCAGCTCCCTTACCAAGTGCTGCACGTCTAGTACGCTTTACAACACGGAATTAATCAGCATCCTAAGAAAAAAATTAAAAAACATCAGCACGGGAAAAAACAAAAAAATGTTATATTACCCAAACAAAACCAAAAAAATTGGACTTGTGTCATCAGCATGCCACTTACCTCAACATCCTCTCCCTGCTCAACACTCCGCGCAGGTCGTGGCTGGCGATTAGCAGGACGCTTCGAGTTCCGGCGAAGCGGCTGACTTCCAAAACGTTGATTAAGCAACCAAAAGAAAACATGAAAAAAAAGACATTAGCATACATGCATAAGTTGAAAACAACTCAAAAACAAAAGAAAAAAAGTGAAAAAAATACATCTCCTTTATTGCCATCCACATCTCCTTCTATTATAACCATTTTTGCCCCACGGCAGGAAATACAACAAAAAAAACATAGTTAGAAGATATGGACAACCAACTACTACAATGATGCAGCCAACTGGGCAGTAAACCTTGTGCAAATTGGACATCAAATAAGCCAACTAACTATTTTATGCCTAGGTATTACTTGCCAACTGTGACAAGTAATACCTAGGCAGAAAAAAGTTAACTAAAGGCAACAAGCTCAGTAAGATAACTTATTCTGAAAAAGCGTCCCTAGTTGCACATGAGGGGAGACACATGAAAACAACCACATCCACAACAAAAGACTTGCACATTGAGAAAAATTAAAATGAAAAATTGACAAGCATTGGTACTAATTTGCACAAATCAAGGGGTCCTAGTTGCACAAAGCAGGAGAATAACACATAAACCACCACAGCCACCACAAGGCTGGTGGATTGGGTAGACTATATTGAAAAACTGGCAAGCATTGGTGCTAAAAATGCACAAACAAGAGTCCCTAGTTGCACACAGCAAAGGGGGGAACAACAAAACCAACTAAGTACAGCAACTGGCACAAGTGTATAACATATGAACAGCCAACTAGTAAAAGTGATGCATCCAACTGAGCAGGAAACTTGTGCAACTGAACACCGTATAGACAACTACCAAGTACAAAAACAGTGAGCCAACTGACCAAAACAACTGCTGCAACTTCAGAGCATATGGACAACCAAGTACTATATGGACGCAGCCAACTGAGGAGAATTTTGTGCAACTAACCACTTGAATCTCTGAACACCAACTACAAAATCAGCCAATGCATTGCACACAAACATTGCGCACATCTAATACAACTTGCAGAATGACTAAGAATCATGAACATATCTCAAATCTCTGTAAAATTAAACGGAACATGAACTAAACAGCCAAATCGCCCTAAAATCGCGCAGCGGGCGCCGTGGACATGCATCCCTTCTACCTAACGACTACCGCGTACCCTGGCCAACTACACGTTGACCTTGGCCAGCCACCCCGTGCCGTGAACTACGCCTCCAGCGATTCCCCCCGCGAGGAGAACCACCCGCAAGCCGCCGCCAAACTGAGCACTCCGCCGCGACGCCCCGTTCAGTGGAGAGAATGGCGAGGAGGAAGATGAAGACGGAATGGGGAGAGAGCTCGCTGCGGCGAGGGATTTTAGGCCACCTTGCAGATCCCAACCACCGTTGGGTGCGTGCTACGAGATAGGAGAAGGGAACTCAACGTAACCAGGAAACCGAGGATAAGCAGGGGTAGTTCGCGCCGTTCCCGAACCCTAGAGAGCATTCCCCTCGCATTTCGGAACCATCCGCGCTCCGCAAGATAGAGAGAGGGAGGAGAAGCATGTAGAAGTGGAGGGCGAGCATACCTCCGACAACGAGGAGCATCGGCGATTCCCCGTTGAGGAGAACCACCCGCAAGCCGCCGCCAATCTGAGCACTCCGCCGCGACGCCCCGTTCGGTGGAGTGGATGGCGAGGAGGAAGACGAAGACGGAATGGGGGAGAGAGCACACTGCGGGTGAGGGATTTCAGGCACAGATTTCGAAACCGCCGCCCACGACCCCCACTACTCTCCTCCTCTACCGCTTACAGGTGGGCCCCCCACGTCCGGATGTGGACAAACCGCCCACGACCGCGGTACGCGACCAATCCAGACCAGGTGCCACCTGGCGGATCTGGGCGCGATCGAACGGCCACGAGTCGTCCGCCCGACCCTGTTAGTTGGTGGCCGACCACTTTTTAGATTTTAGGAATCAAAAAAGGATAGCAATGTAGCAACATACTTAGTTTGATGCCACATCAATTCACATGTCCGAAGTTTGATCGTCAAACGAACCAATCTTGAAAATATTTTGTTGTTGAAAAAATATGAAACCGAAGGAATCAAACATAAAAAATAATTCTAAGCAATTAAGAATCTACAGTTGACACATAATCGTGGTGTTAATAGCAGAATGACCATTTTTTAAACAAATTTTAGAACCAAAGACATTAAATGTGAAACTTCTGGCTTCTGAGATAATGGAACTGGGTATTCTCATACTGCTCAAGTACATCCTTACCTTCTCATTTAGGACCTGAAAGTTGAAAAGAACCAAAAAAGAAAGTCAATTTTGTGGTCACTGAAAACATTTACAATGTAAACCAAAAATATAATCTTCCCACGACTACATTACCAGAGAACTTGTATATATTTGAAGGTTTGTCTAGAAGGCAATTAATTAAGTCAATCTGATGGATGGCGTTTTTATCATAAAGTGGGTTTTTTTCAGTCAACAACCGGTAAAAAATGCATCCTATGCTCCAAATGGAAGGTAAATACTACATTTTGGAGGAAATGACATTCCAAACATGTTAAGAAACATTAATATAAACAAATTCCGAGAAATTATTAAAGATGATTTTACTCTTCTTGGAAGCAAATTCATTTATATAGTGTTACAAACATGTCTACACTGTTAACTAAAATGCTAACCAAGTGGCAACTATTCTATACCTTGCAGTTGTGTTTTCTGGAGCTTAGTGATGACAAGGGAACAACACATGTGACAAAAGGAGGGGTCAGGGAGCTTAGGACTGTACATGATAAGCATTCGAAAAATAGTCTTTGATGTAAATACGCAAGAGATTAGAATCTACAATGTTTAAAGATGGTAATTCCAAAAGGAGTAAGAATTCTCCTTGAAACCAGAAACATATGTAGGACATGAGAACTGCACAGATTTTCCATGGTCAACAATTGAGAAGTTTAACGCATGAAAAAACTGCATTACATCTACAGAAGATCTCCATTGATCATGGGGAGACACAGCCAATGTATTGCTAAATGATAAGATGCACTAAATAAATGTTGGTAGAATATGATTTTGGTTTCACATCCATCTTCTGTAAAGCTGCGGCTCCTGTCATCAAATGTTGATGGTGAGACCATGAACTGTGAACGTCCATTACTTTCTTCCTTAATAGCTACACAAAATGTGTAACAGATGAATAGGGGCAGGTTTTACAGCAGGACAAACCAACAGGAACATCTAGCCTACAACCATGTTAGGAACCGGAGAAATATAGCTACTGAAACATATTATTATTTTCAGTCAACTTACATATACAAGGTATAGTTTTTTGCCCCACCCCATCTTTACTAAAATGAAGCCAACAGAAAACAGAAATAAGTTCAGGTCGTGAATGAACACACAACCACACACATCAGGAAGCTACCTACATACGGACCAAAACTACCAGCCAAATTTCGCTAGCTGCTAAGCACCAATACACAAGATTTATCTCATCACTGATTTGAAAAATTATGCTTCTAGCCAGTGATACTGCTCGACAGGGTCTTTGCTCAGCCCAAACCAATAAATGGAGATGCCAAGCTAAATGAGATTTAACATAAAAGTAAAACAACGTCGTACCTCAGAATCAATGACCAAAGACCATAAGCCGGATGGAGATGTAGTAGCACCAATACCCAGAAATCTATAAATCCGCTGCTTTGATCTCAAGGTATTTTCTATTTTTTAGAAGTAGAAATCGCATGAAAAGTTACCTGAAAAAGAGCAGCGTAGGAACTTATAGCGAAAGGTGAAGGCATGGCAATCCTGGGCAACATTCATGGTGCTGTTTGAACAACATGTGGGTGCAAGCATGATATTGAAGGTGCTATGCCATTGCATCTATTTAATAAAATGTGCAAAGCTAATTAACCTTGAAAGATCCGCTTGTTGAGTTCATCCTCTACATATCTATACACGCAATTTATATTCAGGTAAAAATCCATTTTTTTAACACTGGAAAAATCATAAAAATTGATTGACTTAAATGCAACATCACAATAAAAAGGATCTAATGAGAAAGAGGAAAAGTGGATCGCTTTGCTTACCTGACGAAGACGGGCAATGAACCCCGCGTCGGCGCGTTGACCATGGCCTTGTGTAGGCTAGCGACGCGGATCTGCGTTCCTACACCCATGCACAGGTTGGAGCTCTCCCATCGCGTCGCAGGTGGGGCTTCAGTAGATGATGTCGTCAGCCTGCTCATAATAATGATTAACTCATGAGCAATTGTCTGAAGTGGATTTCAAAGTTCAGTTTGTACAGAAAAGCCATATAAGTACCTTGGGGGTAAAATCTTCTGTAACGTATACTGAATTGAGTTCGGCTCTGATATAGCGAAAGGAGGCTGTGACTCGGTGTACAGATACCTTAAACCTTGGGCGATGCCAATGGCTATTTTCATTCGCCTAAGCCAAGAGAATTGGGTCACTTTCCCATCTAAAGGAAGAAAACAAATGATATCAAATCTACAACACACAGAAAATGCAAACATTTAGTCTGTCATAATGAAACTAAGAGATAGACTTACAGTGTAGGTGCTTGTACAGGGTCCCATTTGATGCGTACTCAAAGACTAACATCCTCGAGAATGGGTCACTCTCTCTGCAATAGCCCAGAAACTTTGCTATGTTCTCATGATTCAACCTTGCCAGATCAACAACCTACAATGTTCATCCCATTTTCTTTATTTATTATTTCAGTTAAAAGTTGTTTCTGAGTCGCAATTTTAGACAAATGAACTACCTTGGTAAAAGAGCTCATGCTGGCTAGTCCAATGACCTTCAAAGGCGCATAATAATATGACAAAAACCTCAGGTCCATCCTTCATTATTCCTCTATAGACTACAGTCTTCGGAGTTGAGCCAATTATGTTGCTAAAATCCTCACGCGCTACTTCAAGTTCCTAGCGACTCAACTTTGGCAAACTTTTCAGCATATCCGAATCTGAGGAAAGCATGAACACAATAGCAATAATATATGTTAGACAAAATAATCAATTTATTTTATAAAGTTAATTCCAACCAATCAGTACTGTTATCTCACCGCTCCAGCTTTTTTATCTACTTCGTGATGATATCCTTACAGAAGGCTTTAGATTGCAACTTCTGGAGGCAGTAACAGCAACAGTGATCACAAAAACAAGCAGGAAAGCACCGGTTGTGATTTCCAAAACAATAAGCCAAGTCGGTTGCTGCGCTTTATCATGCTTATGCTGAGAAGTATTATGTTTTCATTGAAAAAACACTCACTTTTCTTCTGTTTGTAGAAACTGGAGGTTCGTTTTTTAGTCATACTGTCCCAAGACACACCTCAACTTGTATCTTCAAATTCAAGCTTAGCATAGAAAGTGAGAATTATCTAAAAGTTTACAAAGATGATTCACTATCTTACTGAGCTTCTAGGATAATCCTGCTAGTACAACTGTAACAGTTGCAATAATAATTTCACTATCTTATTGTGTTATCAATTGATGAGAAATTGGCACAACTTCTAGGATAATCCTGCTAGTATAACTGTAACAGTTACAATAATAATTTGACTATGTTCCTGCGTTATCAATTGATGAAAAATTGGCACAGCTTCTAGGATAATCCTGCTAGTACAACTGTTACAGTTACAATAATAATCTTGGTTTTTTCATTTGAATAAAAGAACACAAACCATCATGAGGCCCCTATGAAATCAGCGCAACCATGATTCTGATCTTTTTTTGCGTGGACCATGATTTTGATATGCTATAAGATTTATCCTTAAGTTATTCAGACCTCTCGAGTGGAAAAACTCCTAGCAAAACCATGTATGCGTGAAAGAAACATCAACAGTTAGTATTGTCTAGATATAATCATGGGAAGAACGTATAGAATTAATAAAGTCTGAAATCAATCAATCAAGCGTGGGGAATTTACATGGTTGCTAGCTAGCTAGCATGGGCCATTAGCCAATGGAACACGTACCCAAGGATTCAGTCAGGCATGATGTATGGTAGTTTCATGCACATCTGGTTGGCTTGCTTCATCGTCGTTGCCGGCTAGTACGTGTGCATCTGGTCAGCTTGCTTCTTCGTAGTTCTACAACAGTACATTGCTCTGAAGTGGATTTGAGTTTCCCTCGCTCCCTCCCGATCCTCCCGCGGAGAGGCGCTCCTCACGCGCGAGACCAGTGCCCTCGCACCGCTGCACCCCTGCCGCACCCTTCCTTCTTCCCCGTCCTTCTCCTACCTTTCCTCCTCCCTGTATCCTCCTTTGTCTCTCTTTTCTACCAGAAAAATTGAAGCCCCGCCATGACCTTGGAGCTCTCCTTGCCAGCCATGGAGGCCCTCCTCCACCTGCAAGGACTTCACGCCGCCACGCCGGATCCCTCCTCCTGCGTCCGTTGGATCCCGCCGCCGCCGTTCTACACCGAGCAGACACATCGTCCCCGGCCCCTCGAGCCGCCACGTTGACCTGATCCAGAAGCCGGTCTCGAGCGCCGCAGAGGGGGCGGCGAGCGGGCAGAGGTGCGACAGCGACGACGGGCGAGTTGAGGCCGGCCATGGCGGCAAGTGGTGCGGCGGCGGCTAGGGGGATTTGGCTAGGGGCACAAGGACGTCGAGGCGAGGAGACGGACGGGTATTTTTTTCCAGCGAACCGTTTTTTCTTTAAAGATTAATGATGGATTGCGGGTTAAATTAAAAAATCACAGGGGCTTTGCTGCAAAAGCATCGCGACGGTGAACCTTACAAAGTCAATCCCTTCATTATTACTAGCAAAAATGCCCGTGCGTTGCAACAGAAAAAAAAATATAAATACAGTAAGGATTGTATGTGTAAACATAACTTCCAGTGTGTTACAATGAGAGAAATTAAAATTGTCTCAAATTTGGTAAGGACAGTAAGTGCAAGCAACACATCACATGCCATCCGTTGTAACTGAAGAAAAAATTAGCGCAGGTTTAGTAAGAATTGTATATTCAAATACAGCGAGGAAAAAATGCCACAATTAAAATCCCCCGCTGCTACTAAAAATCCATGCAGTCCCACACTATTGGGGTTAATTAATCCTCAAATTGCTGTCTCCTCCTTTAGTTAGGTCCTTCGATGCTATTAGTGCGATTCACATTTCCTTTAATTTTTTCATGTGATCAGTGCCCAATCAATCGGGTGCAGCTTCCTTCTTTAGGAATGCATGGCAGCCCCTCAATCCCAGGAATCATACTATAAAAAAGAAGCTACAATCAAGAATGAAGGGGGGAAAGTGTGAAACTTTTCTTAAAAAATGTTGAATTTACTTGCTTGATTTTTTGTTAAAAATCAAATTAATAAAGCAATGTCTTCAAAGTAAAATAACACAACATTAGATTTCCCAATGATTAATTTCAGCGTATCAATTGCACTAATTACCACGCATGTATACGCCTCTTTCTTCCCTTGCTCATGCAGTCATGCTCGTGCATCAACAGTCCTCAGCCATGACAATTTCGTATTTTTGACCTATTGGCAATGGCATGTCGTGCAAACTATCATCTTAATTAGGCTGGTCATAGTGAGGAGTAACTTAGACTAGTGTCAGATGCATGACACTAGTCTAAGTTACTATCTTTATAATGGAAAGTAACATAATAATAGTGTTATAGATGGCTTTATTTATTAGCTTGTAGATTTATTTTGTCTTGGGAAGCGCTATGTTACAGTAACATATTATGTTACTACCTCAGAAAAAAAAATTGATGTGCGCTAAGTTACTCCCACTATGACTAGCATTAGAAGCCAATCAGCCACGCAGATTTAATTTCCGACAACCCGCTTTTAATTAGCCACGCAAATTTATCCCACAGTCCGGGTTTTAATGACGCCCAGCCATGCAAATTTAATCTACTACCACTATAAAAGGAAGAGAAGGGCAGATCCAAACAATCATATCCATCCATCATCAAAATCTAATGGCCCTTAATCATTATGTGTTTAACGCTACCAACCACGCAATAAGCCACAGTCGATCGATAGTAATCTGCCCTGCAGTAAAAAAAATAAAGAAAATCGCCCGCCCGCACGACCTCCTCCTTCTCCCGCACGACCTCCTTATCCTCCCGCAGCCGCGCCCTTCACCGCCTCCTCGCGCCGCCGGAGCCACGGGAAGCGGCCGCGGGTCGCCGGGAGCCTCCCCAGCCGCGGGAGCCCGCCCCCGCCGCCGGAGCCGCCCCGCCGCGCCCTTCGCCGCCCCTCATCCTCGGCGGCGAGAGGCACGCAGGAGCCGCCGCCAGGGACGTGGACGTGTGCGGGCCAACCACCGGCGTACGAGGCCGCGCCTGAGCCTGCGGCGCGGCGGCGCGGAGCCCTCCGCCGCCAGTTCCCTGCCGGTTCGAGATCGCCACCGGTCCCCTCCGTGCCGTCATCGTCCTTCCTGCTACCAGCTCCGTCCTCCGCCCTATCTCCGCGGCAATGTTCTGCTCCATCCATCGGTAAGTAGCGACCATGTCGTCTCTCTCCGTTTCAATTCCTATAGTATTTTTCCCATGATGTTTCTTATCGATGCTGAAACTCAGGCGACTATGACCACTGTGTTTCTTTTTCCTGAATGACCATGATTTTCATTAGTTGTAACTGGTAAAGTAAGGCGTGGCTGTTTGCTTCGGCCAAATCCAGCTCCATTATCAAATGAAATGTTAGGAGAAAGTAAGTTGGTAGCACTTCTCTTTTTCGAGAAGAGCTGGCATGATGGACAGGAGCGCTCTTTTGGTTTTGCTTAGCTGTTGGATAAAATGATCACCCAGTCAGTCATGGACTCATGGCCAGGTTAAATGTATTCAGCTGTATAATACTCATATGGTCAGACTGCTTTCTTCTGTCTTATAGTTTTCTGAAGACATCCAACGGCCTTTGTACTGATTTATGTAGTTGTTGTTGCTAATGCTGTTGTACATACTACGTAATGTTATAATGGTGTTAAATTCTGAAATTCAAGCCTCCCATTGTATGTGGCTGAAGTGCTAAATTATCTCTTTTTCTTCTTACTATTCCAGGCGCAAACAACCTATAGAGTTAAGGAGTAGAATACCAAAATACGAGCTGCAAAAGTGACTCAAATTCCTCTTCCCTCACAAGTAACTACACTGGTAATTGTCCATGTGTGGATCTGGTTGACATGACCATATTTTTTGATGTTTGCCATTCAATTTTAACTACAATATTGTTTCTAGATAAGATATTGTTTTATGTATTATCATGGGTGCATTTTGTTAAGTTTCGTGCACAAGTTGTTGATATTTACACAATATTGTGTGTCCTATGAATACATGGCTGTGGCTATCATTAAGAGTATTCTGCTTCTGAAGTATTATTTTTCTTCTACGTTAGTTATTTGATTCTTGGGAGTTTGACAATTTCAGAGGTGGAGGCTGGCCTGCAGCTTGTGTGCGCGGAGGAGAAGCACACTTCACCGACAAGTTGTTCCCGCTATCCTCGCTGCCACTGCCAGTGACGGAACTTGGTGGTGAGCCTCTTCTCGCCCCCTCTCAGTTCTTCCCTTTTGATCTGGATGATTTGTTCATGTTGTTAGTGTTTAAAAATATCTTTCGTTGTTCTAGCTGATAATCTTGTTGGTCGCTGTCAGTGTGGTGCATATACACCTAGGCTTTAAGTTGTTGTGATTTTCCTATAAAATGTTGTTGAGGGCATGGAACTGAAATTGACATCAGAAATAGACTTGTTAAGTTTTTGTGTTGCCACCAAACAAAAGCAGGTATATAATCTACAAACCAGCATAGTCGACCAGTGTGATTTCATAAATATGTATACTTCTACAAAATGGAGTAGGAACATGCAGCTAAATTTACGATCATCAATT